GATAAGGTAAGGTAAGGTAAGTTTTGAGGCCCTTCTCTGTGTGTAGCGGTTCAGCCCGCATAAGCGGGATTATATACACATCACATGCGAGCAACTACTTTTTGAGATGAAAATCGAGTGCATGGCGCAATCCTATATGGAGCTTTTCCAAAGTATCAAAGCACATTCTTATAGTGTCCGACGAGCTGAATTCAAAGATATCTTCGGATTCTCGAAAGCTCAATTTTGAACCGAGTTATAACGAATTCACGAAATTAACGAGGATTCGCGTTATTCGCGTGAATTTTCGATTTCAAACGGCGAGTACTGTACATTGGTAAAAACTGCATACACTATAATAGAAGCGAAATCTACTCAAAAGGAACACCAGATGTGAATTAAAGGAAGCGATTACGATAAAGAGAGCGCATCGGGAAGCATATGCACCACACGAATCAGTTACTTGGCTGCCAAGAAGCGAGGTGTGGCGCTTTCACAACGAAAGGTGCGCTGGTTGCTGAGCAGGACTTCGAAAGCGCTCCGCCCCCAAAAGCGATCCGCCCACTAGTTTACTTGTTGATTTGGACGAGCTGTGGCCAGCAGCGGCGCAAATGGAGCATCTCGATTAAAGCGTGATTTGGCAATGGTGCCATCAAACGCGTTGCGGTGAACTCGTTCATAACTCCACTTTCTGAGCTGTTACCTGTTGATGAGTGAAAACCAACGGCCAAAAAAGGGGTCCCGTTTTGCGTTTTCTTGACGGATTTTTCTGCTTTTTTCGCCACTGGCGTACCATTGAGCACCACCACGTCACAATAAACCCTTCTCGAATTTTCCGTAACCGCTGCCTTTAAGATAAGCACAGAGCTTTGCGCCTTCACCAGTTCCTCTCTGGGAGGCGCCCAGCGTTCTACTCATTCAGAATCGTATTGGACGCATCTTGCATCTATTCAGAAACATGATGCACTTTCATGCGACTTGGCTTACCGATGTATAAGTCAGTGTTATTTATCCTCATACGAGTCTGGCTCCAATTTACTGACCTCTAAAGGGTAATATCCAGGATTCGGTCCCTGATCCATGCGTGGCGTAATACGCGATACCACCTACTGCACCACCTGCGTAATTAGGAAGATATCTGCTTATACTTTGGCATGATATGATATGATATGATATGTGCTGCACTCTTATTTCAAGCGGAGACTTTTTAGAAGCTTAAGTCCACCTATTTTATGTAAGGCCTATGAACAGGGGCACCTTGATCAACAACTAATCAACTCTACTAAAAATTGACTGGCTGAACAACTTTTTTGAGCTTTCAAATCGAGTAACGTGGTACTAGACCTGACTGAGAGGATAAAAACACTGTATTCTGTTCACAAGTATGCTGGGTTGTGAACAAAACTTTCGCCCCAGGCGGGACTAGAACCCGCACCTCTCGCTTTCCGGGCAAGTGCGCTACCAGTTACGCTACCGGAGCACCATGAAGGCTTACACACCGTATAACTCTGTATCGGCTGGCCCCTGCAAGTCATTGCATAGGCCATCCAAAAGTCAGCTTCCACAACAACTATGAATGAAAATGGATTTCGTGGCGCATCCCAAATTGAGATTGATCAACTACGACATCTTTATTTACCATTTGTCCCCAATCGTTGCAAACATGCTCTATCCACGAGTTGTATTATTGGTGATACACCAAATGCCCTAACTTAGGATAGGTAAACCCGGGCATACGCACCGCTCATACACTGTGGAACTCTTCATGATTATCTGCGTTCACTGTTTAGAGACGCTTGTTCCAACCTACGGTTTGAAGGCATTTCTTTTCGACCGTGCAGTCCTTACAGAAGTCCTTCCAACTGAGTAACACTTGCAAATATCGACATCGACGCTTCCTTATAGAACACGAAATCATGGCGTATTCGTTAATGGTCACTCTAACATTAGAATGACTGTGAGCGTAACTTCATGCTCAGGGTCTTCGCAAACAACAATCTGGAATGTCTCAGGACTGGGTCAGTGGATGTGTTTTAGTCGATACCTTCGCTTTTAATTGTGGGCATTCAATGACCCCAAACGTCAGACTACCTGGCGCTTTCGAGATAAGAGAACTCCGGCCTCGTCATAGCTGGAGTTGCATTACAGCGGTGTTTCTCCTACGATGAAGAAAGAAAAAACCATTATAAACAGAATAATTAGAATGGCTCGTTTTACTGGACTTTTTCAGGACTTCTTTCAAAACCAGTTTGTCGCTTCCAGTTTAACCCTTTTGTCTTTGAACTCCAAGTGATTGCCGTAGCTCGAAAATGTAACATGGCTCCATTTTCGGGTGCCCACGTTGCTTGGAAAGGGGTTTGCCATAGCTGTTACAGTAGAAAGAAGTAAAATATGTTTATGGACAGAACCAAACGATTGTTGGGAATATTTGGCCATTCTTTTGAAATAAAAGACCCGCTGCGCCATGGCAATGTGTTTTTTGTGCGTGTTTTGTATTCCAGGTTCTCTTTTATGTGTTCCACATCTGGTAGCGAGATGTTAATTCTCTACAGTTGAATCTCGGCTGATCATCTTCGCCTCTGCAGTTTTTCAATGAAGAAGCTGCTTATCGTGAAAATTGCTTGCAATCGAGGCGGACGTGGTGTAGTGGCAAGTGGCCTCGCCTATCCCATGCACGGTCCGGGATTGAATCCCGTGTGAAGAAAAAAGTCATCGGAAACTTGGGGAATAATAACTACTCTTATGCCCAAAAAGGATGCAATTTGTTTCAAGATATTGCACATTACCTTTTCCAAGTCCAATAGCAGCAGTGAAATAATCATGCGGAGGGTAGAGTGGATGTTTGAGGTGTTCTGTACCCAATGGTACCGATCATGTATCCTCCTGGTTGACCCTGCGTCCAAGTGAATAATTACGCAAACAATGCAGCGCACCTAGACGCACGTAGTTCACTTTTTCTCTAACATTTTGAAACTGATCTGCTATCTTATCAGCCGAACTCGTTTCACTTTTTCTAGCGCCTTCCGCCTAGAACACGCCTTGGTCAATAGTCTACAAATAAAACAATGCGAGAAAAGGTCCAACTCGTAATCGGTTAGTTCATGTAATGATGCAATTTTTCTGTTGATTCATTTATTTGCTGCTTTTCATTTGGTCTGTGTGTTCACCAATTACCTATCTATTTGATTTACAATATAATAATACTAGATTTATGTAAGATACTAGGTATAGCTACAGTAGTCTCCAGCGGCACGCTTTCTCGGCAGTAACTTTTTGTACTTGATCAAATTACTTTGAGTTTTATTATGTTTTGACGGCAAACCTCCACCACTGAGTCAGCATACTTGTGCTGAAAGGGGGGGGGGGGATGGGGAGGGAACAATGAAAGCTTCTTTAACTGTATTGGAATTCCTTTCTGAGCATGTCTAAATTCCAGTCTACTGTAAATTATTAGGAAAAGCTTAAAATCCAGCAGAAGAATCAATAGATAACAGTGGAAAAGGTCAAAAGGTAAAAATAGTTTCTAGTGACAGCATTCCGTGAATCCAGTGAAGCGTTCCCATCGCCAGCATTGTGTGAAAGATGTCCGGCGGGAATTTGAACACCTAACAGTCTTTCCAGTTTTTCGAATTTTTGTTTTGTTTTATTTGTCGTTCTTTTCGTGAACGAATGATCTTTAGAATGAATGTTAGTCTTTTTAATAGATTAACATATACCCAGTGATTTGTGTGAGCATGAATCATGGATTTTCGAGAGAATTCTTCACAGACAACGCTAGTTTGTGACAGTCTTCGAGCGTTGGTTTCTTAATAGGAGTTCTATTAGAGCTATAGAGAGATAATGTAGCATTAAATGAGTTCGATGCACTATAGACGGGACAACTTTCACCCATTTTCTCAATGTTGGCCGAGTTTTATTCCATACTTTTGTTCGGATATTATCTGTCAAGAAGTATTCAACACTTTGCATATGGTCTCAGTGACACTTAGAACTGGACATGAAATTGTTACTCTATAAAGCAAGCCATGTGGCGCACTCCTGTACGTCAGGACCTGGGTGTTATTGATCTTTTTTGATTGCGAACGAGGTCACCGGCTACATGCTGACGCAGATGTGGGATAATGTCTTGTTGATACATGGATGACGTCAGAGTTTGTCCAGGACTTCTTTTTGTTGATATTTAGAAGTAGGTAATTTTATTTATTTCTATGATTTTATTACAATTTTTTTTTTTTTTGTCTATCTTTCCTGATTTTTATATTGACTTACCATAGCGAGCCTCACCTGATTTCAGTTTGAGACTTTGGTGGGAGGTTTCCGATTTATGGCGCCATAAATTCTACTGCGCTGCGACGCATAAGACATCAACGCGTGAATAACTTCTTGTGATCGCTCTAGATAACTAATTAAGTAGGAGTTCGAGAGCGTACAGGGAAAGAGAATGCGGAAAGTTATCGACAGAAAACATAGCCAGGAGATATGCGAAGAAATCAATCAGTCTGAACCGAGATGCTTGAAAGTATGGTTCCAAATGACTAGTGAATTCAGACATACTTGAGCCATTGATCATTTAGCGGCTTAGAGGATATCAAAGAGTATTTTACAAGCATATGATGCTGTTGATTATATAATCAGGTGAAATATTCTTTGCTGGATTGTAGTTTTTTACAGTGACTGCGAATTACTTGGATTGTTTTGACCATACCTAGATATCTGAATGCAGATTTTCTTCATCTGCACAGTACGAATAACGGCTACAGAAATGAAGGTCAAATCGACATTCGATACGAATACCGGCTCAGTTGAGGTTCGCCTTCGAATTGTTTTCTTGCTGCCAAGAAATGTGTTTCACTGGGACTTCCGAGCGCAAGTGTATAAAATCACTTCTTTTGGGATCATCTTATTTCCTAGATACGGATGGTGTGTCGGACGATATTCGGGCTATTTCCCTCGCTCTGCAACATCCAGACGTCGAGGTACACAAATTTCTTCAACTACCAGTTCTTTTTCCTAAAACGGCTTGAACCTTACGCCATGACGATCAGCACATCAGCAAGTCACGTGGGTGTGTCACACACCTTCTCCTGACATTTGCGTAAATTAAGGGCAGGTGGTACAATAAATTGGGTGTCGAAGAAAGGGAAATGTCTATTACTATGAAAGGTCACCCTGACTGCCGGTCGTAGGCGTAGGATTTTAGCCACTTTGGTTAAGAGTCAGAGCAGAGCGTTCATGTTAATGAAGTCAGCACAGAAGGAACTCGTCCAAGGAGGAAAATTAATTGTTGTCCCATGGGTTTGAGGCCGCTTCTGCTGGTTTTCTTCTCCTGGTGCACCTCTTGGTAGCAGTATTTTGACTCTTATTGAGCGTTCCAATTAACCGTACCATCTGCCTTCAATTTCTCAATAGATCCATTCATACTCGGGTACATTTCCAGAGAAAATAATTTTTATAGCTGGTATGAATTCAAAGAATAATTCAAAACGCCTCAGTAGGCAAATTTCCCTTCACGGGGCCCACGGTGTGCGTTATAACATAATCTCTAAAGCTCTCCGCAATGGCTCAACTCATTTGAACATTTCCGCATAACGTCAAAATTACTTTGACAATATGATCAGATAGATTCTGCACATTTTCCCTGTTCTTCCATCGAAAGTAGTTTCGTTCAAGGTTCTCGCATTCACCACAGTACACGGATGCGTTTCGGTGGACCAAGCCACAGCCAATGTTCGAAGGTGTCAGCGAGCGAATGGCCTCACAGTGAGTGCCTATGCAAGTTTTTTTTTCGAACAAAGAATTGAAAAAGCTCTTACCTGCTACCATTCTGATTTATTTAACATCAGGTTTTGCTTTTAAGCTCTGTTCGGAATTATAGATGGCATGGTGAAGGACCATAGAGGGTACGAAGCTAATAAAAAGGCAGTTAGGGACAGAAGAGGCGATATAAAGCTCGAGTGCTATGGGAGGGAGTTTCGGAACGTCAACTATTAGATTCTAAAAATTGTCAGGTTCGCCCACCCCGGGAGCCCACCCTTGCCTGTCTCTTTTGTCCCTATACCTTCCTGTCCCCTCTTCGTTAGAGGCTCTCGTTTTTGTACCACTCGCTTCGCCATAGTCTCGTATGGTGATGATAAATACATTACTTTCGAAACCTCTCTGAATGGGTTCCTTTCTCGTAATTACACTATCAATTAATTAGCGCTCGTACTCGCAGGCACACTCCACCATAAAAGGCTGGAGAGATTTGGATTCAGATATGGTGCAACACATGCTTGCGAATCGACAATAAAGAAAAATACGATAGAAACTGTCGAAACCTCTCTGAATGAGCTCCTTTCTTGTCGGTTTCTATCGTATTTTTCTTTATTGTCGATTCGCAAGCATGTGTTGCACCATACCCTGAATCCAAATCTCTCCAGCCTTTTATGGTGGAGTGTGCCTGCGAGTACGAGCGCTAATTAATGGACAGTGAAGTTAACATCACCATCCTAAAATCACATTTCCAAAGAAATCAATTCGATCAGTTTTGCCGAAGAGTTCTTTTGATTTCGCTGCGCAGGGCAATTCCTAACTGGTTTCCTGGTACAATCAAGTGGAAAAAAGGAAATACGTGCGACTGTGTAGCATTGAGGTCACGTTGACCAGTGATAGTGTGCTCTTCGAGAAGGTAGTGACTATGGAAATGGGTAAGGGAAGCTGCTGGGTACCACAGGATACACTTACACATACAGCGTCAAGCGAGATCAGTTAACACTTTGTGCTGCAAGAAGATCAATTTTCAGGAGAACTAAAAATTTAGGTACCTATTCCGGTGTACAAAGGAGCACGGGAGCCGATAATAGGCGAGAAACCCTTATGCAGCGAGAGCATCTTCTTCGGTAAAGATGGGATTGGCGATCAGCCTGATGCATTCCCAGAGGTGAGTGGGCGATTTTTTCCTATTCTTGTTGAAGAATTTGGAGAAAGGTATTGTAATCGCTGAAGGGTGCACAATTCGAGAAAAAGGTCAGGTGAAGCGGCTCTACGCGATTCGCCCTTTCTATCTCCTATTTCACGGAATTTACATTTTTATACTATTATTAGTTTTGGCGCTCATCCAGTAAGGGGGGCATCAAGTGGCTGCCCTCACCCCCACCCCCTAGACTGCCTACACTCCCCCTGGCGCACAGGTTTCTCGAAGTACGGGACCCCGTGAGCCAGGGGGAGCCAGTCTAGGGGGGGGGGTGAGGGCAGCCACTTGACGTTGCATCACAATGCCCCCTCCCTTACCGGATGAGCGCCTTATTTTTTATTAAAGACAGTAGTTTGGGTGGTTCACCTTCGTTTTCTTTCTACAATATGCTAGACTAGTGAATAAATGCAGTTTCCAGGTGCTCGAAGAGGATTTCGGATCAGCATCAGAGGAATTCGCTGCGATAGCGCTTATCCGTCTCGCTAAGGAATATCCCACTGCCACATTGGTCTGTCTAGGACCGCTCACTAATGTGGCGATCGCCCTGAAGATTGATCCATATCTCACTTTTGGACGAGTCGTAATCATGGGAGGAAACTACTACGGTAGCGTTTCTAAACTACTATTTTTAATTCGATATTTTAATTATTATAACTAATCTATCATTGTTAAACAACAATTAGAGGCTCCAAAATTTATTTCAAAAAGCTTCAAAACACTTA